CACAGTAAATGCAATTATGCAGAAGATTCTAACTTCCCTAAAAGGGCAGACATTTAATTGACATTTATATCCCAGGTCAGGTCAGGTCGGGAAGCAGGTACTGGTGCAATGCGTTGCTGCACCGACCACACGATTAAACACCTATGGATCCCAGCTGGCAAGCCCCCAGGCTGACACGGGGTCTAATCCCACCCTCTGGAAATGGCCATCTATCTGCCACAGCCAACTGTTACTCGGGCATTCCCTTAGCCTGCTGCAGCCACTCGGGTCCTCAGCAAGCCTGCAAGCCAGATCACCCTCAGGGAATCGGGCCACATGGCCATAGTGCCGTAACTGAGGCTCCCTCACTATGCAGGTACTGTGCCTCACTCAGAACTCCCTGACCAACTGCTAGTTTGACACAATGTCATACCAGCTTTAGCGAAGGACTCTCTGAGGAGACACAGTATCAAAGGAGTCCAGTTTTTGTCTCAGGTCAATGGATAGCATCCATGTCTCGCAGGCATACCGCAAAACACACTCTAAAGATCCTTCGTTGTCTTACAAAGAGATTGGGATCGCCACACGCCCTATTCCAGTGATCTCATGACCCCCTATGCTCTGCAAATCTGTCTACTGATTTCATTGGAAGAGTCACCAGAGACATGAATGTCGTTGCTGAGATAAGTGAACCTCTCGACATGGTCAACATTCTCTCTGCAAACAGACACGCTGCTGATGGCCGTGCCCAAGAGGTCATTAAAGGCCTTGATCTTGGTTTTTATCCAGGACACTCACAAACTCCTCGCTCAATCTCTCGAGAGCTCCAATCAGAGCCTCCATTGACTCCGCAAAGATCACAGTATTGTCGGCAAAGTCAAGATCAGTGAATCTTCATGTACCAACAGAAGTCCCACAGCCGCTGGAGCCCATGACCCTGCTCAACACCCAGTCCATGCAAGCACTGAACAATGTAGGAGCAAGAACTCACCACTGATGACCCCCAGAATCAACTGGATCAACGGAAAAGTTCTGCCTCCACTCTGCACAGCACTCATAGTACGAGTGTACAGGCCGCCGTGATGTCCAGTAATTTCGGGGGGATCTCAGGATGTCCCACAGGGCAACTCGATCAAGTGAATCAAATGCTTTACGAAAATCAACAAAGGCTGCAAAGAAACTCTGCCGATTTCGTACTCAATGAGACCCCTCAGTGCCAGAATGCAGTCGATGGTAGACTTCTTAGGCACAAAACCAGACTGCTCCAGTCACTGGTCAGCAAACAAGTGATCATAGATCCTGTTGAGGATGACCCTAGCAAGGACCTTACCCGGCACTGAAAGCAAGGTTATTTCCTGGTACAGTAGTTGCTGCAGTCCAAGCGATCACCCTCCCCTTTCCAGGTATATCCCAGGTACTGTATTCAAAAAGGTGCATGATATCACCATTGTTCAGATCCTTTTACACACACACCCACACATATATATATATACTGTAGACAGACAGACAGATGTTACTAATTTCCCATATGGTCATAAACTTCGAAAGGGGTGTTTCATATTGGGAGCCTGGGGAAGCACAACAGCAGCACTGGGATTGATCTGGATAATCTTTTGCGTTTCCATGGCGATTGATCAACTGCCCTGTGCCCATTTCCCATGTTAATTGGAACAATAATATCCGATATTTGACTTAAGTATTACATGAAGACAAATTTATTTAACCGCATTATACTACCTAACACATAAATCGATATCCTGGGAAATACAGTGTGTGTGTATATATATATACATATATTGTTTTCACTCAGCCAAACAAATGAAATAAGTTTCAGCCTATTTCCTTTGAGGCTATTGACTTGTGGCAGCAACTGAAATACAAAAGTAAAAGTGAGGATGTCTTTTTTTGCACTCAATTGCTGGGTAGGACTGTTGTTTTATAGCAATGTATCAATGTTTTATGTCTTCTTTAATGATTTTCTAAAAAGGCACCGATGCAAAGGAAAAGAATAATACAAGAATACATCTTCACAGTATTTGTTTACAGGCAGGCGAAAAATGATAAACGGCATCTGTTAACAAAGGTAACCATATGACCCACTTAGAATTACATTTTAAAGCACGGCTCTACTCTTCTTCATCTATATAAAAGATGTTTCTTTTGTTAAATCGTCAGTCACCATAATAATACAAGCTGAAAGAGCAGAGGAAAAATGGAAAGTGAAGAGATATGCATGAACACATTCAAAATATGTCAGCATTCCGTAACATTTAGCAATACATCACTACATGTAAATATGTTTGACCTTGCATACAGCACATGCCCATTTACAATACCTCATTGTGGATGTGCTTGAGTGATAGATGTTTTCAGCAAAGGAAATCTGTAAAAATATGCAAACAGTCAGTTAAGATGTTAAGATGTTATTTCTTTCGTTTGAGAAGTGTTTGAGAAAATTTTATAGCTGAAATCTTTCCCTCTTTTCAATTTGACAGCAAAATGGTCTTGTGTAACAAAATAGAATGAAAAATATAAGGTGACACTCTATGACATGACTTTAATATTATTGGGTTTTCGCCATGGATTATGAAATTTGACAATTTGGTCATATGTAACTGTCGCATGACCAAAACCATTGGATTGCTTTTAAATATCAAGACTTGCGAAGGAACTGCATGATGGTGTGCTACAGTATCCTTTCTGCTGAAGTAAAACAGTGTACCACAAAGGAGAAAAAGGTAGGTGCTACTGTAGTAAATTAATCAATTCTTGCAAAAAATGGCAGAGGACAACCTCCAGTTAAATCAGACAAAGGAGAACATCGACTCGTGGTAAAAACATCCCCCTGCTGGGAATAACAGGCTTTGAATACACATACACAAATGCATTTATCTTGGAAAATAGCCCCAGCAGCCTGTGCACCTGGTAAAACGGTCAGAATGTTGAAATGCAAAATATAGAACAAATCTCATTAGGGACTATCATTAATACGTGTTAAACATAGTAGAGAAACAAAACTTGCCAGAATTCAAAACATAAATAAAAGTGTATATACATATTAATGCATTTATTATACATACAAATGTTAGTGTGTGTGTTGGTCAGATATACATTAGTAGATGTCCCCACAATGTGATAAAATCCTGATATTTTGATGGTGTGGGGACCATTTTTCCTGTCGCTGTATAGAAGGGGAAATTCAGTTTTATAAAAAATCTGTGACTGCAATCAGAAAACAAAAAATGCCAAAAGTCTTGAATTTCGTTGATTATGGGTAGGGGTTAAGGTTCTTATTGCTGGTATTAGAGTTTCGCCCACAGAAATGAATGGAGTCCCCACAATGATATGAGTTCAGGCCTGTGTGTGTCTTTCTGTCTGTTAGTCAAGGCTGTCATTTTATATATTAGGCGAGTGAAGAGTGAAGTTGATGTGTTTTGTGAAGTTGATGTGTTGAAAGCAGGAAAAATGGGCAAGCGTAAGGATCTGAGCGATTTTGATCAGGGCCAAATTGTGATGGCTAGATGACTGTATCAGAGCATCTAGGAAACTGCAGGTCTCGCGCAGTGTTCCTGGTATGCAGTGGTCAGTACCTACCAGAATTGGTCCAAGGAAGGTCAACCGGTGAACCTGCAATGGGGTCATGGGCACCCAAGACTCATTGATGCACATGGGGATTGATGACTAGCCTGTCTGGTCCGATGCCACAGGAGAGTTACTGTAGCAAGCTGGTGGAGGGACATGTTTTCCTAAGAATCCTTGGGTCCTGGCATTCATGTGGATGTTACTTTGACATGTACCACCTACCTAAACACTGATGTAGACCAAGTACAGCCCTTCATGGCAGTGTTATTCCCTGATGGCAGTGGCCTCTTCAGCAGGAAAATGCACACTGCCACACTGCAAAAATTGTTTAGGAAAGGTTTGAGGAACATGAAAAGAGTTCAAAGTGTTCACTGATTTTAATGTTACAACTGATTGGTGTATGTATGTATGTATATATACACACATACACATGTTGGCATACCTATCTAAATGGGGACTTTCCATTAATTTTTTATGGGAAAAACCCTAATCCCAATCACTCCATGCTTAACCCCTACCCAGGTGTAACCTGAAACAAAATGAACCAGACAAAATACAAGATTCTGGCATTCTTTTCCTTTTTTGATTGCATTCACAGATTTTTTTTATAAAGTTGAGATTATCGAAATGGGGACCTGAAAAATGTTCCCAAAAGTAAGGAAGTGTCAGGTTTTACCGCACTTTGGGGACATTTTGGTCCCCAAATGTGATCTATGCAAACACACACACACACACACACACAGATATCCATATACTGTATATATATATGGATATTTTCTCATTTTCTTCTCTCTCTTGATCTTTGGATTAAAGGTAGCCAAGCAATTTTTATGTGCTGACAGCCATCTCATCTCATCTGAGAGGCTAAAGTCACACTTTGCAATGGTTTGTGTCAATGCAATATTTAAGCTCTGTTATTAAAAAGTCCTTTTACTTCAAAGTTATCAGTTACATTATATAAACTGGATCTAATACGAAAGTTTATTGTTACATGTACCATACATATGGATAGGGCGTGTATTAAAATGTGTTAATTACTTTCATCATATTAGAAAACACTCGGAAGAGACAGAACACACAGATAGCATAGGAATGCATAGCATACAGATAGCATAGGAATGCATAGCATACAGATAGCATAGGAATGCAAAGCATACACATACACATAGCATGGGAATGCAAAGCATACAAATAGCACAGAATTATCTTTTTAGGTACAACTAGGACAAAAATATATTGACTATGCCTATCTTCATAATCTCTTCTAATTGTCAAAAAGTAATGATATTTAAAATCTGTAGCACACTATAATAATAATAATTATTATTATTATTAACATTAAATGAAACAAAATTACTTTTTGACAATTTTATTAAAATTCACATTTTTTTTTGCTGCTCATTGTTTCTGTCCGAGGTGACAGAAAGTATTGTAACTATGAGATTATTTTATGTTTTGGGGCCTGCATGTTAATTTAGGAGCTTGACCCAAACACTATGAGTTCAAGAGTTTAAAATAGGTTCAGCAGTGACATGCATCTGAAAATTCAAAGCAGTTGTATAAATAAATAAAAAAAATGGAATAAAAGAAGAGAGATCTGTGAGCTGTGCTGTGGGGAAATGCCCAAGATATCAGCATGGCACGTATTAGAGAATTAAAATTAGGAATCGTACAATAAAAATCTTTCCTTCTCACATTCTAACATAAAAATTGCAGAAATGCTGAAATTGCATCAGAAACTTATTTTTAATCAGGGTAATGTAGGTTAAAGTGGGGCAAATAACCTGGTTCTTTATTTGTGTCAACTGACATTGACCATTTCTGACTCAAAATTCACTTCTAAACCAAAAAGTTAAGACTATATATATATATATACTAAAAAAATCATCAGAATCATTTGGGAAGTTTAAAATTCCATCCGTGTTTCATTCCAACCAAAAAATTAGTCACACCAATTTGTCCTTGCAGATACGAAAGAGATGGATTTAATTTGACGGAACAGCATGGGGCACAAGGTATTAGATCTATGCCGTAATTTTCTCAGGCTGCCTGAGGTTGAAGCCCCCCCCTGTGAAGCGTGGGCCCTCCATCCGCTGAGGCTGAATTGCAGACTGTCCCACATGAGCGAGAGACCGCATATTCTCCCTGGAGAATGACAAAGGACAATCACAGGGTCATGTTACATGTCCAACAACTCCTCTGTTGAGGAAAACTAAGTCAACACTTTCCGACAGCCTGTGTAGCATTACTGGTTGTTCGGGACTTCATGCCTGCACCTACCCTGTTTTTCATGTTTCATTGATATTCAATTAGCTGGGTGGGTGTGCGGGCGTGTTTTTTTGTATTTGGAGGGGGGTTATTGATTACATATGGGAATTACCAAAATAATTACTTAATTCAAGAAATAAATGTGAATAGAGTAATGTTATGCACAAGACTTGATATGCTGACTCTTGGATCTCTGTCCAGACATCTGTGAAACATGCTTTGATCTCCTTCCATTCATGTAACATCACTGTCTACTTCAGCTAATGCCTTTTGACAATACAGGAATCCGGCAGTAATAAAATTTTCAAGACTATACAAGGTATAAAGGAGGGATATGCTTTTACAATTCCCCACTCAAATAAAGCTGCCGGTTTGTTTATTCATGGGTGGCGAGTTAAGAAGGCAAGTAGAAGAGTCTACTCTACGGTAGACGTTCCCTGCCGTGCGCATCAGGCAGCTCTCACCGATACGATTCACACCTCGTCGTGCGACAATGAGACCCAGCTTTGCTCATGAAGTGACACAGAGTTGCAAAAATATTTGGAACATTGTTCGCTGAGCTTCATCAATTCACAGGGATGATCAACGAACCGTCACATCTAGGGTGGTAATGGCTGTCATATTATCCCCAGTGTGGGAGTAGAACTGTGAAGTGAAGCCAAGAGAAGAGAAATTCTAAAGATTAAACTGCAGTTCTGCATGCCGTTCTCGATAGTTTTCTATAAGAGGGAGTAAGGGGTTTCTAAACTTGTACAATGCAGGACTACAGCTAAATGTTAATATTTTAGCCACCATTGTAGATGATGGAGGTTTGAGCTGGTTCAGTTATAGATTGATGGCCCTCAGCTGTTAAGGAACATTCAGCCATTTTCATTCAAGTAGCAGGAACACAAATTTGTATTCAATTAGAGAAGGAACAAAAATTTCTGAAAGTAGCTAGCATAAAGTATGTAGCATCATTCAAGACAGATGTGGAAAATTAATGTCTCTATTGGAGTCCTGATATATTCCGGTGCTTATCTTTGTTGACACTCGTGAAATATATGTATGCAACTAGGTGAAATCACACATTGATGTACAAAACCCTGCAATGTAGAGATTAAAACAGGTTATAGAGATCACCAGTCCACAATTCCCCCTGTCTGATATAGCTACCACCAGAGGATGGGATGTATGGACCCAAGATTACTTACACTTGTTCCTGCAGCAGAGCTTACAAGGAACACAAATAGTATATACCTTGTGACCCAAAGAGGCATTATTACTACCAGATCGATCATCTAAAAAGCCCTGCCTCAACACCAGAGCGGGTGCACAAGAGGCTCGTAAAGCTCTGCCTCAACACCAGAGCGGGTGCACAAGAGGCTCGTAAAACTCTGCCTCAACACCAGAGCGGGTACACAAGAGGCTTGTAAAACTCTGCCTCAACACCAGAGCGGGTGCACAAGAGGCTCGTAAAGCTCTGCCTCAACACCAGAGCGGGTACACAAGAGGCTCGTAAAACTCTGCCTCAACACCAGAGCGGGTGCAAAAGAGGCTCGTAAAGCAATGCCTCAACACCAGAGCAGGTGCACAAGAGGCTCGTAAAGCTCTGCCGTCTGCCTTACCATGTTTCATACATGGACACATTTCTTAATTTCCAGATGTCATGTTTGTGAATGCGCATGCACAATTTAGTCATAAGACATAGTAATGTGCCAAACCTTAATGCAACAGACAACCGAGGCAGAGAATTCTTTAGAATAATGTAAGCGCCTAATGCTTTCTTTAATGGTTGTCACTAGATCTACTGTTAAATACTGAGTTTACTGCATTCAGGGTTATTTCAATACCACAAAGCATACTGTGCCATATATGTTGCGCCTAATATTATATTATGTTCTTAAAACTATGGTTATGTGCACAGTGTCAAGACTAGCTAGGCAAAATCCCAAACCCTGTCAAGTTACAATGGGTTGCATAAACATCATTTTGCATACCTTTACATAATTAACTCTGCTTTACTGTATAACCCCCAGTTCCAGCTGTGCAGGGATCTTTGATTTGCAATAGCTTATGCAAGGACATGAACTCCTATTGAGGGTAACCCCTTAATCTGCTTGTTATATGTAATGGAAGGTCATATTAAACCTTTATGCTATAATTACATTGTGAGTACAAGGCAGGACAAAAATGCTCTTTCAAATGGGCCAGCTGTTCCCTGGAACGTAAGACACAAGGTGCTTAGAAAACAGTACCAGAGTCCATCAATGGTTTAAGGCATAAAATATGCAACTTTACAGAAGAATAAATAAAAACACGATTTGTAAATCATGAATGTGATTTATCAAAACCTCATTAAAAATTAATCATAAGGGTAAAAATCAGAAATAATTTTGCAGAGCAACCTGTCCTTTCGGAGCCTTGTCTTATAAACTGAACTGACAGATTTCTCATAATAACAGGAAACTAAGTTACACTCATCATGCATGGCTGACGAAACTCGTGCCTTCCTTGAACTTTAGTTTGCATCAGAACCTTTTAGTAGGGCTACAACTTCTGGAAATGCAAACTGCAGTAATCCGTGTCCTTGTTTATATGCAATTTATTGTGTACTTTAAACACAGCCTGTGTCAGCGTCATTTGTAACTTCTGTTTGCTGCTGAGATAACTCCCCTATAACCATATAACAATATTATTTGCATCACCAAAAACGTGTGCAAAAATGTAAACTTTAGTGTGCAGCCACTAAAAAATCCAAACAAGCAAAGAATTTCAAAACAGGTAGTCAATGAGCTATGAACAGAGCTACTTTTTCTTACAAAATCCTGGGACATATATATTTATGAACAGAAATGAACAATGTATTGGCCTGCCTTTCGAGGTAATGAGCACTTTAGGTCACTGTGGAAAGCTTTCTACTATTTTCCGACAGAAAAGTATTGGTATTCTACTTCATTTTTCCTTTAAAATATTAGATTAGCTCTGCAACTTAATAGGGCTTTTTGGCCGTGCCCTAATTCTGTGTTCCAGTTCATGCTAAAACCCGTCATCAAAGTCAGGCCTAATTTTCTGCAATAAGAAAGGTGCACCGTGACTATCAGTAAGATCCATGTATTAAACTGTATGTTACCGTGGATCCAAAATGGCTCCAAAATGATTTTACTATAAATATGCATATTTTCAGATGTCATAATAATTTATTAATGGTACGAATAATAAATTTAAAGCAGCACTACTTATGTCGGTTACAGCTTTTGAATACCTTAAATATGTGACAGGTTGCTTTTATGACTAAAATGGGGTAGATTCAATCAGTGCACCTGACATGTAGTATAAAACAATGTAACAATGTAAAAAATGAGAACAGTATTATTTACAAATAACACATGCACACTATTTAAGTCGGTGTATATGTTTTGCTGCATATACTGTATGTGACCAGGTGTGATGAATGCTAGTTTGTACACTACCTGCATAATTAATTGCTAAATTAATTAATAATTTAGATTGTAAAAAATCACCACAGCCGATGTTGCTTTAGTCAATCCATTGTTAACATTTTCTGTAAAACCTGCAGAACTAAAGCTTGTGAGGTTTGCTGTTGGCCACAAAACCAGCACACATTAAAGCATAATTACTATGCTGAGAAACTAAAGCGTCTTTAAGACACTTCTGCAGCGTGGTTGGATAATAGTGAGAAATTCCAGTTTGTGTTTTCACAAATGCTATAAAAAAAAATACAGCAATCTGAAGGTCCATATTTTATGGCAGTAAAATTAGGCGACATGGCATGATTTTACATTTGTTGTTATAAGCATGTATCTCAGTAAAACAGTTCTGAATGTTGCCCACTCAAAATTGTATTTGTATGATAAATTATCCACTTAAGTCCACTGTGAAATATTTTTGAGTTTAAATCAATACTCTTTGAAGAAGAGTGGGCTGTTGACCAGTTTGATTTTGGATGATTATTTAAAAAGTAAATCCAATTATCTATATTAAAATAGCAACGGAACTTCTGGCTTTCAGAAATGCTCCATACGGTTAAGAACCAGAATTGGAAAAGTTCTATCCCTGAGGAAATTGTTTAAACCAGTTAAATTTGCATGATATATGCTTGCAGTATTGTTCTATGTAATGACTTTCACCATACATTGACATATGCAGGAAAATACATTAAATGCACAAATGGAACTGATTCAAATTAATGTTTAAATACACGGAGTTTCCAACTTGACTGTCATTCTGTTACACTTTTTTAAGCCAACAACTTTTCCTGCGAGCCACTGGAGGTGAACAGGGCAGCTGGAAGAATAGAATGTTTTTCATATAAAATGAGCTCTATGCTCAATGACCACATCCACCAGGAAAAAGCAAGGGAAAGAATGAAAACAAGAATGCAATAGGAATCACTGACAGACAGTGACTGAGTGAAGAAAAAGGAAAATAAATCATTCGATGCACCAGAAGGTGGGTTTTATGCAACTGCAATTACAGTAAAAATGTCTCAACTTCAGTAGTATATTTTCTGCTACTCTTTCAATTTCCTTGCCAATATGGAAGGAGATACAGTAGTATACTTCATTTATACAGCACAGATGAGACTCTTGACTTACATTCTGTTAAACACTGGATGTTCACTGATAATTATCTATCCAAGTCGTGTATTATTTATGCAGCCTTTTAAAATTCATTAAAGTCATTAAGCTTCATTTAAAAGCTGTCATTATCGATTGACTTTACTGTAATTGGTGCTTTAAACCTTCAAAGATTTCCTTCCTAATGATTAAGAATGTTTCAAGTGGTCCTGCAACTAACATATGCTAATCTGAAATATAAAACTAGCAAACCAAGCAGTATTTAGTCAAGGTCTTTTTCACATTTACTTAAGTCACCGAAATATACTGTAACAACAAAAATAATAATCCTATTTCTGTATTCAGCATTTTTTACTGTTATGCAAATAAAACCCTAGATGTAGAGCACAACAGAGGCCAATTGATACATTTAATTAACATCACATTGTTACCCAGTGACACAAGTATTTAATGAAATTTTCTTTTAACTTTTTCATTTTGTATTACACAGTTAGTATTATTTATTGAGCATGTTGGTTAATACACAGTAAAACCACAAAGGCATTTGATTTACCTTTTGGATATAAACCATCAAAAATGCATTTTACTGGCCATCCATTCCATGATATTGAGCTGAAGCCAGGGACAAAATCATGATAAAAATTAGCAGCCGTGGATAATGGAAGGTAGATTAATACGGTGGCCCATTTTTAAAAGGCATCTAATGCTGCTTTGTGCTACTTTCACAGCTTGTCTGAAGTTTAACTAAAGGGCTTGACTAACATGACCCTGCTGGAGGCAAAGCGTTTGCACAGAGACTCACTGGAGACTCTTCAGGATCCGTCTTGATATCTGTTCTCACTTGTACAGATGAGTTTCTTTGCCTTCAAAACATTGCTAGCTCTCTCTCTCTCTCTCTCTCTCTCTCTCTATATATATATATATATATATATATATATATATATA